TTATTTTTTAGCCAGATTTAACAACAAGAGGCCAAAGGGCCTTAGCGGTCACCTCAGTATAATATAATATAACACTGTAAAGGATCCAAAGAAGCATCAAGCAAAATTAAGATAGATGAAGCGATCTTGCCCAAGAATTTCAAAAGTCTAGTAACAAAAAACCCTTGCTTATTGTAACATGCGAGGCCATAGCGATCTCCTTGGGATCATACCTGGTTTGCCCAAGGCTTTTAAGGATGAAAATGGATGCACAATATACATATACAATGGGCACTTGCCTAGGGTGTAAGGTATTTAATATCTACAGATATGTCTTGTCCCTTGCCTAGTGCTACAATATAGTACACAAAGAATAATCTCTAATATCTGTATATTTACTCGAGGCGATGCCTCTTGGCTACACAAACAACTCAGCTATTTGCCACTTGCCTCTTGGGTATACAAACAACTTGGTAATACTTGTTACCAGCACTCACCACTTGGCTATACAACGTGATTATTTGCCACTTGTCACGAACTTCAACGCATTCCCTAGTCACCCTGGCTCTCTGTGATCACTTAGTCACTTTGATGAAGTACAAAACAGCTTTATCTCCATGACTTTACTTGACAATCTCATCAATTTTAATCAGGACACCACAGTGTAAACATACACTCTACAATTGGCTATTTTGCTACATAAATAATCTTTAAGTCAATCTTTTATAATGCTTTACAGTCAAGAATCCGACTTTGAGCATACTTTGCTCAATCTAACCAAACATTCATTTTTATTTTGTTTCTAAATATATAGCATTCTTTCTTGTATTCTCATCCAATCAAAAAACCTGTAAATTAAATTACATATAAGGATTTCTTGATTTATACAATAAAGCAAATGGGAGTAACTCTCATTTGCTTCATTTATTACACTTTTAAACTCTGCGTCCTAGATACCCAGAAGCATTTTAACATTTACATTTATATTATTGCATTTAGTTTGTTTACTTAATACTCAAGAGTGGAGGAGAGGATTTTTTAAATAATTAATGCATTTTCACAATAATCATTAGAGCCTTGCCCTGACACCAGAACTCATGAAATTCATTATTTTAGAAGAGGCTCCCTTGCTCATCATAACTATGCATTTAGTTTGTTTGCTTGATACCCAGGAGCACAAGAGAGGATTTCTTAGGAATTAATGCATCATCAGTATATAAACAAGAGAGCCCCATCCTAACTTCATAGTCCCTGACCCAGGGGCGATGAAATTCACAATCAATTTTGGATGAGGTAATCTTGTTCATCATAACTATGCATTTAGTTTGTTTGCTTGATACCCAGGAGCAGAGGGGGAGATTTTTAAAATAATGTGTTTTCAATATATAATCGATAGTACCCCGCCCTTACACTAGAACTCCTGACCCAGGGGCCATGAAATTCATAATTTTGAAAGAAGCGTCCTTGTTCATCATAGAAATGTATCTAGTTAGACTGCTTAATACCCAGGAGCAGATCATATTTTCAAACAGTTTATGCATTTTCACTATATAATCGACAGAGCCCCAACCCCTTTCACCAGAACCCCTGACCTAGGGTTCATGAAATTCACAATTTTAGAAGAGGCACCCTTACTGATCATACATGTACCTATGTATTTAGTTAGTTTGTTTAGTATCCTGGGGTAAAGAAGAAGATTTTCAAACTATTATTGCATTTTCGCTATATAATCAACAGAGCCCCACCCTAACACCAGAACCCCTGACTCAGGGGCCATGAAATTTACAATTTTGGAAGAAACATCCTTGTTTATCATAACTATATACACTCTACTTAGTTTGCTTGTTTAATACCCAGGAGCAGAGAAGAATTTTTCAAAGAAATAATGCACATTCCCTATATGGTCTATATATCAGAGCTCTAGCATCAGAACTCCTGACCCTTGGGTCATGAATTTCACAATTCTGATAGAGGACTCAATGCTTATTACAATTATGACAACAGTTTGACTACTTGATGCCCAGGAGTAAAGAAGAGAATTTTTAAAGATTGCATTAATTTTGGTGGTTTTAGCCCCACCCCCAGGCCCCATGGAGATAGGGACCATGAAATTCATAATTTTTATTTCCCTTCATTTATAAATACTATTTGCCAAAATTAGTTGAAATTGATTGAGTGGTTTCAGAGAAGAAGCTGATAATATTTAAATGTTAACGCATGACGGACGAAGCACGACGACGGACGAAAACCGATAGCAATAGGTCACCTTAGTGACTCAGGCGACCTAAAAATAGTTGTTGAATTCTAAGGAAAATAAATCATTAATGTCCTTCAACAAATATTTCAGAACTTTCATGTGGATGTTAAAAGTATCGACAGTTTACTTTTGCTTCGAAAATCACTAAACAAATCCATTTAAAAAATTATTACAGTAATAGTTACACAGTTAGTTAACCTAATAAGGAGTCATCCAGGGTGGAAATCCGAAATGGGCGAAGCAAAAACGAGTCCCAATATGGTTATTTCAAACCTTTGATGACTCCAAATTAGGTCCCAAACTTTGTTAAGAGTTTTTCCCGCTGAAGACCTTGTGACGATACGTTTTGTACCTATATTGTTGTCGATGACAATATATACTCAACCACTGCAATTTTTGTCGTTTTTAGGTAGATATTGTTGTCGGTTGCATATCTATGCATGTAAATATTATATGATAAAATATACAGTGTATGCCTATCTTTATTGCACATATCCTCACCATACCGTTAGACCTTCCAGTAATATGGATGACTTTGATATCAAACATCATACATACAAATTTAATGATACCGCATGATCGTTTAAAGATAAATCAATGGCTTTTTTATTTCTGTATGCATAATTGTCATTTTAAACTCCAATTCAGGGCATCATGTGATCTGTTTTGAGACAACCAATATTCTCCAAATCTGGCTGAAGCGGGATAAATTTCACTATAGCTTGATAATACTTTTAATTCTGATTGAAATAAAGATATTATAGCAATATTAGTACTAAATTCAAGAAAGCCTTCATTGGAGTAAACAGGAAATGAAAAAAATATAAAGTGAAAACTTTCTGATACCTGAAGATCTGTACATACATGTATGAAGATATTTGTAGAATTTCCTCATAAGCAAAAATAATGATGTATAATGTTGGGATTTTATGGTATACAATCTTGCATATGCAGTTTTCTAAGGTTTAAAGAAAAAGGTTAATTGATTTCGTAATATGTTCTTAGTTATTCTAGAACCTACCTTATTTTCTGTCATTACGACAGGTTCTCCGTTTATATTGATAATAGATTTTATCCTTGTGAAGTCGATTTTGATTTCTTCTATGAAGTGCACTTTAATAGTCTCGTCTATGTATGTCTAACAAAAAAGGACTAAATATACATAAAACATTTTTTCATACCTAGAGAGGTAACAAATAACGTGATTTTTAGCATTTATTTTATAAATAGAATAAAAACGTTATAAGATTCCTGTATTTATAATGTTATGTTTTCAAGATGTACTTTTTAAAATATCTCGAGATTTTTCTGATGCCACATCTCATCACTTTATTTATAGAGTAAGTACATTGTAGAATTTAATCCATTTATTCTTTTTCTCAATTAAAATTAAACTTATTATTATCATTATTATTATTATCATCATCATCACCATTTGCATTTCCCGGTCCTCTGTTTTCCAATTTAATAAGTTACCTTAAGAATGCTTCCATGATCTGTTCCTAGGTAAAGGAGAACAAATCCATTGTCTTCATGGTCGCCGATCATCGTTATCCTTGTATGTGTTTTGTAAACAGCTATTCCAGTCAGTGGTAACAATCCAATTATTGTTCCAAACTGCGGTACTGCATTTACCACATCATTACAAAAGTCTCCCCTGTCCACAGCATCATACATTCCATCTGGTAAAAGTTCCTACAAGTGGAAAACTCCTTTGTTAATATAGTTGAATTTTAAAAGAGATTACGAATTTTCAATAAGCAAATCCAAGTTAAAAACAAACAGGTTTTAAAACCATTTTCTCTTTTCATGTAAAGTACTTATGGATATAATTTTTTTATGGTAAGAACTTGAACAACCCATTCAATTACAATCCATATATTGCCAGATGCATATTCCACCACAAATCAACTTCAATATGAATGACAGAAATCAATAGTTACCGAGAATTTTAAGAATATGCCGTTTTATTTTTTATCCCTGACTCAGAATGAAAAAAAAATCAGCATATTCTTCTTCCTCTTTCACCGTAGCTGCAATAATGTAGCCCTCTTTACTTTTTGGGTACAAGTAAATTCGGCATCTGGTGAATTCGGTACCAAAAGAAAAAGTGAATTCGGCACCTAGTGAATTCGGCACCTAGTGAACTCGGCATCAGAATATGGTGAACTCGGCACCACAATATGGTGAATTCAGCACTTATTTTACTTAATATTTTCCTTATGAAAATTTGTTTAAGAGAAAAAAATGCGTAACTGAAACACTTCTTTTATTGGTAGTATTTGCTTTTATACTGATTTACTGGTTGATAAATAAAGTTGTTTTTATATAATTACATATATAAAAAAAAAGAAATTATTTAATATTTCTTTTTTATTGTTTGACTAATAAATTAGCTTTTAAAGAAATAAGTACATTTGTTGATGATATTTCATTAGCTGGATTTTTTTTTAAATTAATAAAGTCGTTTTTAACGGGAAAAATGCGGTTTAATAAATTATAATGAAATAAAACTTGATTAAATTATACACATATCGATACAATTTAATTCTAGCATTTTCATAAAAATTTCGATTTTAAATGTCAAATGTCATTATGTACTTGTCAAAAAGGGGCTAGAACGACGTGCACCCCCCCCCCCCGTACACAATGCATAAGGTGAGGTGTCAGATAATGAAGGGGGTAGTAAAAGGTTCCAACAGCACAAGGCTTTAAAGTGTCACTATCCCAATACACAAAGTATAGCGTGAGATGTCAGATAATGATGAGGGTATATAGTGAGGGATTCCACGCAAGCTTCAATGTGTTACTTGTTCTGCATCGCCAAAAGAAAACCAGCAATGAGAGGTATGTTCAAAAAGTTTTGCACAATAATGAATTATAAATGTTTTTCAAAGTCTTAAAGCTTTAGGAATTCTGCGAGTTAACAACTAAAGTCCTTTTATTCAATGAAGAATTTAAATAATTCTCCAATTCGAACTGAAACGTACAGCATCATTGAATTATTAACGAATGATCATTGAATTACATGCATTAATGAATACTCAGGACTCTAGCTTTCTCGTTGTCCGGGGCAAGTGAAATGTCATCTCGGGATTTTTCAAGATAGTTTTCATGATAAACTAAACCGAAGGGGAAAGTAATAAATTTCAGAATTTTTTTTAAGTACAAGTGTATTAAAATCAATCAAAAAGAATAAACATTCAACTATCAAAATCTGCACAAGGCTGTAACATTTCGTTTTTACGAGTTGATGGTATCAACTCATGTTATGTGACTTGTAAGGGATTCCCCAATGTATCGAAACTAATCACATTTTCGTTTGAGTACTTTGCGTGCGGGTTCTTGTATAATATTGGTTTATTTACAGTTTTCGTAATCTACAGAACAAGAATATGTTTCCTGATATGCTTTGAAGTGTTTATAAACTTATATATTTATTATTGATTTTAATGGAATTTGTGTCTATCCGCTAGAGAAAATAGTGTTAGGGACATGCGGTCAACAAAAGTGACATATCGTGCAAACAAAGTTTTGATTTATAAATCAATAAATGTTTAATATAATAAGAAGTATTTTGAAAACAGATTTTTAAAGAAAATTTACAAAATTGAACATTGTACAAACCAGGTTAATTTTACAAGATTGACGTGCTGGTGGTATATAAATAAACTAATATTCTTGCGCTGTTATGCTAATGAACAGAGCAGTTTTCCCGCGCTAGTGATGAATCGTTCAACACAGAGAACACTGCCTATGTTTGTAAACAAAGCGAGGAGTTTGCAGTAAAGAAGATCGAAGTAAACCAATTACTTATCTCAAACGGAAGAAATGAGCTGTACCAGTTGAAAAAAAAAATTGAAATTAAAGTTCTGATTTCTTGTGCAAGCAACAAAAGATTTCGATTGCTTAAAGGGTTAGGGGTTAGATTTTTTCAGCAGCGGACAACTTTGTGTTCCAATTTACTTTTCCTTGTTAAAAACAGTGTTGAAAATTCCCGTCTTCCACAATCTAGATCTGTTTCACAGCAAGCTTTAAATACAGCAATGGTCACTTACTACGCCTGTGATTCTTATCTCATTAATTGTCGGCATTACACCGGAAAGTGGTTTCCTTTAAAGGTGCTTAGACACAGATTTGAAGTTAATATTTTCTCAAATTTTCTGTATAATATCACGACTTAAATATTGCAATAGCATTTCACACGAAAATATAATTAAAAACTTGTTTTATCTGGAAATTATTGGAACTACGAATTCCTGGACGCGTTCGATTAACACATCCTTGCACTTTTACAAATTTTATCTATATCCTTAATATTTAAGAAAAGAAGCGATTTTGTTGTGTATTAATGAAAAACATTACATCTATAATCCAGAAAATTCAGAGTAGTAATGTGCGAAAGCAAACCCCCTCTCTAATATCATCAGCCCTAGCTCAGTGTTGTGTACAGAGTTTAACAAATTGAATACACCCGTGAAACGTAAACTGTTTTTGTAAACAGGGCACGAGCTCTGTTATTGTTAATGTTTACGATTCACCGGGTGTGTTCAATTGTTAAAGTCTGCACACACCACTGAGCACGGACTGACAATACTGTGAGTGGGTTTTGCTTTCGAACATTTCTACTCTGAATTTTCTGGATTATAGTTTAAATATTTTTCATTAATACACAACAAAATTGCCACTTTTCTTAAGTATTAGAATAAAATTAAAATGTGTGAAAGGATGTGTCAATCAAACGCGTTCAGAAATTTGAAGTTTCAGTAACTTCGAGATGAAATAAGATTTTTTTTATATTTTAGTATGAAATGCTATAGCAACATGTAAGTCATGAAATTATACAGAAAATTTGAGAAAATATTAACTTCAAATCTGTGTCCAAGCACCTTTAATATGTGCAGCTGTGTTTTGCTATCAGATACTGACCATGTGATAAAGTGAATTAGTACTGTGAAGGCAATAAATAAAAACAAAATCAAAAAATTTAAGCGGGTGTTACTGATAAATTAAATGTGAAATGCATATTTATAAATGTGAAGAGATTAAGAAATCAAATTAATTCAAGAGTATAGACAGATCATGTAAATAGTCAATATCATGTCATTGTGATGAATTTAAAGTCTTCAGTCGAAAAGCCGAAAGAATTGAAATATCAAACGTGCATACATGTATCAATGAAAGTGAAGTAGTTGAATTTCAAGAAAGGCTAAACCGAGAGAAATGATGTATAAAATGTGCATGTATCAATTAAAGTCAAGTAGTTATATTTATTTCAAGAGTGACTAAACCAACGAAATGACATTTTAAATGTTCATTTCAGTTAAAGTCAAGAAGTTGAATTTCAAGAGTAGCTATATCAAGATAATTAAAATATTTATTGTGCATATCAATGATCATAAAAGACAGGGTGCTGAATATCAAGAGTGGCTAAATCAAGAAAATTGAATTATAATACGTGCATGTAAATTTTGAAAGACAAGGAGTTGAATTTCAATAGTAACTAAATGAAGAAAATTGAATTATGTAATATACATTTAAATGAAAGTAAAAGATATGAATTTTAAGACTGGCTTAATCACGAGAATTGGAATATATTGATGTGCATTGAAAATGTCAAATTGTTTGTCAATTTAAGAAAGCAGTGAAAATGTTCAATGAACATGTTAATGAAATAATTTAATTTGTGCTATTTGTGAGTAATAATTCTCTACTTGTAATACTATTGTAGATTTTGCCAGTTAGTTTGAGATATGTGTGTTTAAAGCTTTTTCTTGTTTTTGTCTATTTAGGAGTTGTTTTAGTTCTGCAATATGATTTTATACAACAGTTGTGCCATTTTTCCCTATATGAAATTTCTAGTCACTTGATATATAATATTTCTGTCAAATGATATTGAGTGCCCAAAAAATGTTCCCGGTAGTTTTAATGATGATATTCTGTGCTCTGTGACCATTTCAATGATGGTAGTATCCTTTAATATTTTGTAAAAATACAAATTACTTTAAATGCAAGCTACATTGTCATTTTACAAAAAATCCTACAACTAATTACATGCGCGAATCTAGAAGGGGGGGGGGGGGGTCCGAACCTTCCTGGAATTTGCAGAGTTACTAAAAGTATATACTGAAGCAAAATAAAATGACATTGGACCCCCCCCCTTGAAAACATGGACCCCACTACCACGAAATAGGTGTTTTTCACGTTTTGGAAATGGATTTTAGGGGGGGGGGTTGTTTTTTTTTTTTTTTTTTTTTTTTTTTTTTTTTTTTTTTTTTGGCATGTCAAGAAATTTTTGGGTTGGAAATTTTTTTCACTGGGGTGGACCCCCCCCCCCCCCCCTGGAAAAAATTCCTGGATCCGCGCCTGAATTAGTATTACATTGTATTTGTTTTCTATATTTAAAGGATCGATTTGTGATAAATTTTATACATTCCAGTAGATATTAAAAAAAAATAAAATACATTAAAAATGCACGATAGAAAAGGTGGAAATAAAATGATACAATTTTATTTCTCAAAGAAAACAAAAAGAAAAGATTAAGTGATAGTTTTCATCATTGCACATAATATCACATAATCCATATATGGACTAGAGACCTCAACTGATTTTAACATTATATAATCAATACCATCAACTCGTAATAGTACTTTCAGTACTTTGATTTTAATCTCCGCCCATCGGTAATACATTTGCTTGTACGGACAGACGAAATATTCCTCAATAATATATAATCTTTCCCAAGATTTTGTCATTGAAGTATTGCCATTTAAACATAAAAATAAGGTACCTTACCAGGCATTTGTGTAACATACCAGAGGATGGTATTTCTTATATATTAGTAATCCTTTTTGGGGAAAGACCGTCAACTGCCCTGCAACTGTCATCCAGGATGGCATCACATATAAACCTGGACAGAAACTGCATGTTCACCCTGGAAATCCAGGATCCCAAATCGCAGTCAAAATCCAAGCTGAGGTACAACTTTTATATGTGTTTCAAAACATTAGAACTGGGCAATAATGCCGATAAAAATACATGTATTAAAATAAACCCATTTTTATGGCAGGTCAGACAGCATGCTAAAGATGCCGTATTTGGTCAGCGCTCTTCAACTATCATCAATGCTGCTATCCGGGCCCATGCCGATCCGGAAGCTCCACCTGACAGCAGTCCGAACCCTGGATACCTCATCAGGGCGGCCAACCGTATACGCCAGTTGGATCGACCACAGGATTCTTCTGACCTTCAAGATGAGGTGTGTTTTCAATTAAATCTAAAGAATTCTGAAACAAAATGTCAACTAATTACACACATACAGTAATACATGTATTACGTTATTTGCGATTATTGCAGATCGACCTAGATTTCTTGGAACGCCATGCTCAGGGATTTTTGCGCAAAGACTTAATAGTGGACGACAAGCGACATCTGATATTCTATACAGAAAGACAGCTTCAACTATTTGCTAAGGTGAAGACGTGGTATATGGATGGGTCATTTCGATGCGTCAACAATCCCTGGAAACAGCTTTTCTCCATCCATGGCTTCGTTAAGTCCGGTAGCCACATAAAGCAGATCCCCTTGGTGTTTGTCATTATGTCCGGAAAGAGGAAAGAAGACTACTACCAGGTTATTATTATTTTTGTTTTTAACTTTCTTTCTGAAATATTTCTCAACCATTCTCTATTATTCTCGAAACTCCAAGTATATTTTTTCTCTTATACTAATTTTTTTAAATATTCAATTTCATTTTAAACATATATACATTTATATGTATATTATATTTTTAAGGTTCTGCTCCAGAGGTCCTAGCTCCAGTGATGGACAACGTTTACAGAACAATGATCTGTAGCACCATCTAAGAAATCCATCACTGAAGTGTCTTAATGACAGCCATCCGGACCAACAACGATGTGGAGGGTTGGCACAACAGATTGAATACCAGTGTGGCCACCAGGAGACCCGTGCCATTTTACCATCTCATTGCCGTCCTTTACAAAGAGGAAATGGACATCAAGCTACAGATGAAGATGGTGTCGGAGGGGAAAATACAGCGATATCAACGAAAGAGGACCCGTCAAGTGGAGGGGCGGATATTAGATCTTTGGCAACAATTCTGTGAAAGGGTAATAAATGCAAGCCAACTTCTCCAAGAATGCGCCCCATCTACGGTCCTCCACCCCAGTAATGTCACGTGATGAATCAAGCACTTTCTTTATACAAATGTTTTTGACTGACTTAATGTTGAATAAACATTGTTACACATGTATATTTATGGCCAGTAAAGATTTATATACTGATAGATGCACAGACATGATCACATAAAGTTAAGTTAAATAGTACAAGATACTAGAAATATTTACATGTAAGCTTCAGGTCAATTTCACCAGGCAACATTCGCCTGAAAATAGTCTAATGAGAGATAAAAGGTTTGCTAAACAGAACCAAGAACAGGTGCCGTTTTAACACTGTACTATTATGTCATATTAATTAAATAACGCTTACAGAAAACATTGGCTATGCAAATAAAAAATTATAGAAAACAGCTATGAAGATAAATATTTGAAAATATTTCCTTATTATCAAATTTTTTTTCTTCGTGTCGAGTATTTTGTTTACTTTCATGAGTGTTTCATATTAATTAAATAACGCTCACAGAAAACATTGGCTACGCAATATATATATATATATATATATATATATATATAGAAAACAGCTATGAAGATAAATATTTGAAAATATTTTCTTATTAACATATTTTTCTTCTTCCGTGCCGAGTATTTCGTTTACTTTTATGAGTGTTTCACTGATGTAGCCTATTTTGTATACTAGTAAATGTGATATTTTAGGTTTTGTTAAACATATTATATATAGAGATTGAAAATTATCTAGTGCGTAATAATCGCTCTTTTCTAACAATACGAACATAAGCAATCTCCAACTCACCTCAAACAATCAGAAACATTGAATAAATATACAATAAATAAACATGAATAATTATAAATAAGTGAAGAAGTAACTCGTAAAACAAATGCCGAATTAACTACATGCCGAATATACTAGGTGCTGAGTTTACTAGGTGCCGAATATACCTGGTGCCGAATTCACTTTACTTGGTGCCGAGTTCACCAGGTGCCGAGTTTACCAGGTGCCGAGTTGACTAGAAATCTACTTCAACATCACAACTTGAAATTATTCGCCAAGTTTACTGACCTTGGTCTATTTTGGGACAGCCAATGAGAATTAATTCGGAATCAAGCGAATTTATATAAGAATCCCCTTATTTTAAGCATGCACGAAAATATCCCTCTTTGTGAGAAAAAATATCTACATCATATGACTTTCTCTATATTTAGTGACTCCATACAAAATAATTATTTATTATTTATCAGTCTCCGTATATCACGTGGGAACTGTCATAGTTGATGAAGAATAGTTACCTTGTTTTAGTAATTGGCTAGTTTGTTGATGATGAATAAAAATCCATCTCATTCGAAGGAAGTGGAATGCAAAAGCAAATATCTTTTGCCTGCAGTCGCCCTTTAAAAAACATTACACCATTTCGGACATCCTTTGGAATTGTTGTCCTCTCCCAAAAAAAATCAGATAAAAAAATCGGAGAAGGCTACATTATTGCAGCTACTTTCACCCATAACATGTTACTTGGTCGAGACAATTCATTTCATAATTGAAACATGCTTTTTTTCTTATTTTAATTCCAATGTTTTGTTTTGTAAATGTTTACTGATATACCAAATAACTTATAAACACCTTTCTCATGCCATAGCATAATGTTACCGTCTGTAATTAAAAACCACGCCCTCCAGGGTGATATATACTAGCAACATCAAACATCGGGTGGTATTATAAAAAAATTTACAAGTAATACATGTGTAAATATATAAGCGCATATGATTTATCATAGTGTTTTATTAGACGATTTAGTGTCTGTGCAAAACATTCATTATAATGAAACATATAGTATCTAGTTGAGATTAGTATTGATAATTCAAACCCATGCAAACCGATGTTACTAGAAGCTACGCCTCTGTTGGTAATGGTTTCGAAGGGAAAAACTTTTAATAATACCTTAAACTAAATAAGATATTTATAATATACTGCCAAAATGAAAGGATGACTGCACTTAAGGACATGCGAAATTTGCGACAAAATAAACTTTCAAAACAAGCATTTTTCTTTTCATTGCAAGAATGGTCAAAATCCAATCTACATTTTTATGTAATTACGTTTAATAAAAGTGTGTATTTACGAAGTTTGAATCTGTTTTCAAAGGCAGGGGTCATCACAATTTCTTGAATCTCCGTTCGATAATGAGGACGCCCACTTTTTTACTGACTTTATACATAGTCAGCGCATGTTTGTCTATTGTTCTACGTTTAACAGTAGTTGTATATTTGCATAAACAATGTGCCAAAAGGAGATTAATAGACAAATATGCGCTCATGGTTAAAAAGAGAAAAAACTGCTTCTTCTTACATTCGTTTTCTGTGTTGTAACCAAGGATTGTGACTTGTTGAATATTATAATTCACCACGTGATTTCTTACCTCAGGTAACTTTGTGAATACTAGATTCCGTCACGTGACTTGTAAGGTAGCATGTTATGTGCTAACTAGGACATTGTGTTCGAACACGTTAAGTCATCTGGCATTGATATAAAATCTGCTTTAATCACATTAACGTGCTCATATTGTTAATTTCGTTTTGAAACCTTTGTCAGAAGTGTATTTGTGCCACACAGAATGGAGAGGGAGATTGGAAAGAGTGATCACGTTCTTTTTTCCAAACATGTCATTGTTATTTATCAAGTCTAATTTTAGACCCATTCTTACAATGTTAGCCCCACCTCTCTTGCATATCTAATGTTCAATCAAGGGCAGGTAAGTGTAAATTCACTATATTTGAAAAGCAGCAAGGACAAAAAACATTGAATCATTTTATTGTATCACAGTCTAAAATCATTTTAAGATTTAAATTTGGTTCCAAATTGACAGGATTCTTTCATAAACATACAAAAGTGAAATAAGATTTAGATGTAAAAGCAACAGAAGCAATCGAAAAGGACCCAAAAACAGGCGTTAAGTGCAGTCATCCTTTAAATTTAAGTTAATAGTGGAGTGAAATACTGTTCACGAACATAAATTCCTACAATTAAGAATTAGCACCATTTTCCTTTTTAACTGATTACAGCATTCATAAAGAAGAGCACTGCGGGTTTAACAACGATAAGTTTTAGCATAAATTACATATTAGCGTGTTAATAAATTAGCGGGCAAGAAGTAGCACGAAAGACGTAAGTAAGATTACTGCTAAAAAAAATACTTCTCCAGTTTTTGTTGTTATGGTGTTTGTACCTTTTATTTTTCAAACTTTAAAAGCTGACACAATATCGTTCAAGGAGATGGGGAAATAGAGACCCCCCTGCTATCCCCCGATTCAAGCGAGCTTTTTTTTTTTTATTTTATAACATCGAGTGTATTTTAAGTAGAGGTTATTTGCTGAGACAAATGTTAATTTTTATCAAGAACATTATTTTTCTTATCAAATATATTTTTTTTAATTTTTATCCTCCAGTATCCCCCTTTCCCTTCCAATGCAAGGTAAGAAAATATATTACTTTAGTCGAATGTTTGGCGCTCTGAATTGTAATTATAAACAAATAAATATTTTACAAGCACAAAAACGTATTGCTATAGCAAATACATTCAAAACCTTCAAAGCGAAATAATAATAAGAAAATAAAAACCACTAATAAAGTATGTGAAAATATTATTGTAATATAAAGAGATACAAAAAAAAAAAGAAAAGAATTTAACATTTACCTCATTTTTTTCTAAAGACATATTGATACACCTTGGTAAATTTTTATAACCAATTCCATCAAATATCATTTCAGCTGATTGAAGATCGTGCTTTGGGCATCCAAATCTATGCTGCCTTGACTTCAGAAATGCATCGTATAGCTTTATCTCCGAAAACACACAAAGAGCAAATTTTCCTGCAGAATTCGAGAATGCAGCAACGAGATATCGGGTACCTGTTAGTATGACGAATTTCCCATGAACAACTGTTGTGAAAATTTCACTTTCATCTTCACAGTAAATTGGAATATCTTCATATACCCGTTTAGGACTCTCTTTATCGATTGTTTTGCACATTTTGGCCAATTTGGCTAATGAATTCTGGTTAAACAAAATGAAGACAAAATCATCGTTTTGAAAAATTGCTTTGTAGTTTATTTTCATTTTTGCGTTATTATGATATATTTCCTTTAGATACATGTCAAAAATATTTTCTGTGGTCAAGTCGGTTGGAAAAGAGCGATGTTGTAGTTCTGCATGAGTCGAAAATATCAAAATCCTGTCAAATCGCGGTAATGCAAAAGGAGTAGAGTCAGATGGGGGTTTTGCAAATAAGATCAGTTGTTTCAGTTGTTTGCTACCTCGAAGAGTGATATTGATGTTTACTAATTGCCCAAGAGCAGATAGCGTCGTGTTGGGCACGAGATGGAAGTTCGTGTATCCTCCAGAAGTCTTATCCTCATTTAAAGTCGATTTCTCTCTTTTTATACACTTCCCTCCATACAGGGTACTGCATGTAATAAGACTATTAGGAGTCACCACCATTACTGAATTCTCGTCGTCACCACAATACTTTTCCCTATAATATGGGTCTATAAAACAAGTATTATTTGGCCCAGTTACTTTCGTCACTGTCGGACCAGAACGTCCCAGATCGAATTTATAAAGCACATTTTTTCCGCTAACATAATATGAACTAGCTTGTTCGTCAAACTCAATATTTCTTAGAGGAAAATTATTAAGGGTCACAGAAAACATTGTATTTAACCTGTATCCAGATTCTGGTAAAGAATACACTTCAAATATAGCAACGGAAATTAAAACTATCAGTATCATTTTGTAACGGTACATCATTCTGGAAATTTTTAAATAGATCGTCCTTGCTGAACTGTAAAGAAAACAAGCATATTTATAACAAAGTATCTGAGTCACCAATTCAGGATAAAATTGATGTTTACTAGAAAGAATGTTATAAAGCAGAATATATTTTTTCCGTGTTCATTAAAAAAGGTCAGTTACAT